ACCATGTTGAGTCTGGCTGAATGACTAAAAGTCTATGCCAAAAAAATTTCATAGAATCTAAAGACAGCTTAAGGCCTTTATTATAAATATACTTTTTAGTAATGAAAATAAGTAAATAGAACCTAGAATATCCATGTAAAAGAATGTAATATTTGATCTCTGGAATAAACTCATCTCCTGAACAATGGCGCCGATATATATGTAGTTAAAATTTTGTACACCTATTTTAACCTGTTTGTTATTATCCATATATGAGTTGTAACCGATGTTACAAACTCATTTACTTTTTACAAAAAGTCTATATATTAGCTACAGTCATGGACGTATAAACACTATACGTCCATGGCTACAGTTATAACTATACAAATCTGACTCGAAATATCGTCTAAAAGTAACAGTATGTAAAACTTAGATTTTTAGTCAAAAGTAAATACTTTTGTCATTTTTTATGGAGTTCAACGTAGAAGCCTTCACGAAAATTTAAGTACTAATAAGATCACCGCAATCGGGCGTACCTTGGGTAATGAATAATTAATTAATTGGTTAATTCTTCAATCACTCTTCCAATACGAGTTTTGTCAAATCGGTCCTTTTTAGGACCAACTATTCTATAGAGATGTGTGTGTGTAGTTTTATTTTATGACTAGAGACATAGTCCATTAGCCTATTATGTTTTGAGTTATTAATTAATTTTTTAAACAATTGTTATAGAGAGAACCCGTAACAACAATAAAATCTTAACTTCTATTGACTTACATATAAGTACGTACCTACATTAATTTTTTTTTCATTATATTTTTTTTAATTATTTTTTTATTTTATTTTTTTTTTAATTTTTTTTTATTTTCTTTTTATTTTTTTTTATTATTTTTTTTTATTTTTAGTTTTTTTTTACTGGAAGGAAAAGGAAAATATATGGTTTTGCTGATTTATTACATACGCCTAGGGGTCTATCAAGGCGATTTGCACAACACAAAATTAGACCACGGATAGAAAGGTTAACAACTGGGTTAAAACAAAGGACTTATATAACTAACTTTTTATGTTTGAAATATATACAATGTTACCATAATACATTTAGAAATTCAATTTCATTTCACGTACTTGGCGAAAAATTATTTCATAAATATGCAAGTTATTGGTTTTTATTAAATCTGATAAATTAAAGGGTCTTTTAATAAGAATGTTTTCCTTATTGATATACTCGTATATTTTTATTATAAATTGGTTTATACATCGTGTATTTAAAGAGCAATTTAAAACTAAATGCTCAATTGAGCCTTCTTCGCCACATTCGCAAAATGGAGTTTCAGCTAAATTAATTCTGAACTTATGTAACGGAGACAGAGCATGGTTAAATCTTATTCTACATAGTATTTTAATCATATCTTTATTAAAATTTGAGTTTTTGAACCACGTTGAGGACTGTATTTTTGGTTTTATATCTTTATAATATAATCCCTTGTTGGATAAATTGTACATTGTTTGCCATGAATTTAACATTTTTTTCCTTAGATGAGAATTTAGATCCTCAATTACACATTTATATTCTGATTCTTTAGATGGTTCATTATATTTAGCAATTTTGTCTACTATTTCATTATTTAATATTCCACAATGAGCTTTTATCCAACAAAACATTACATTAGATCCTCTTAATTTCATTGTACCCACCAGGTTTATTATTTCAGATAACACATAATTAAATCCAATATTGTTATATTTAGAAATATTTTCAATTTTTTGTATTGAGCTTTTACTATCAGAGAATATAACGTAATTAGATTTTGTTCTTAAGAAATTACTAATGTATTTAAGTGCTTCTAATATTGCTATTAGTTCAGCGGTATATATCAAGGTTTTAATATTTAGATCTACTACTGTACTAAATTTTCGATCTGGATCGTAAAAGGCAGATGTAACCTTTAAATCTGATTTAGATGCATCCGAAAAAATATATGAGTAATTAGGGAACATAGACTTTATGTCAGCTTGGAACATGCTATTCCGGATATATTGTGGGAATTCTGAGTAGTCTCTAAGATATCCTACTTTTATGCTGTCCAAGTGTTCTAATTCTATTTTAAAACATGGTAATTCTCTTGATGTCGAAATGTCCTTACTAAGTTGTATCCTTACGTATTTGTACGATTCAATAATAGGAATTGTAGGCTTTTTTGCCAATATTCCTTGACTAGATCGTAAATACTGAGCTCGAAGCATTTTTGGACTACCGGACTTTTCTTTGCATACATTTTTAATAAAAACTTCTCCGTTAAGTAATCTCTTCTGAAATTTAGTGGAGGTTCATTGCATTCTACGTTTAAATTTGAAATGGGTGTACTCTTAAGTGCGCCTATACTTATTCTTAAGACTTTATTTACTAGCCTATCTAATTTCTTCAGGTGAGTCTTCGCTGCTTGACTATAAAAAATTGACCCATAATCTATTATTGAACGAATATAAGCTTTATAAAAGGTAAGCGTAATATTTGGATCAGCTCCCCAACTTGTATGACACACTGATCTTATTGCATTTAATCCTTTTTCTGTTTTTGTTATTAAGCGGTCTATGTGTTCGTTCCACAATAACTTCCTATCTATTACCATACCCAAATAGTTAATGGATGATTGAACCTCAAAATTAACGTTATTGAATGCTATGGATTGTGGTAATCTATGTTTTTTGGAGAATATACATGCTTGGGTTTTCTTTGTAGAGATGCTGAGACCTATATTAAAATAATACTCTTCTATTGTCGAAAACATTTCACTCATTATATTGATACCTTGATCGATTTCAACTTTAGGTACGTATATACACACATCATCAGCAAACTGTAGAACATTTCCTCTTGTATTAATTTTTTTGTGTAAGTCTGAGGTATAAATAAGATATAGTAAAGGACTAAGGATGCTTCCTTGCGGTAACCCAACATTAGAAATTCTTGGATCCAATAGTTCATTATTGATTTGAAGTTGTAGATTCCTATTTGAATACAATTTTATTATTCTTTTAGCAAAGTCACTGGGTATTCCTATCTTTTCCATTTGTTGATAGAGGATATTTAATTTGATATTATCATATGCACCTTCTACATCTATGAATAGAGATACCAGGGATTTACGTTCAGAAAAGGATATATTAATGTCTAGGATAAGGTTAGCTATATTTTCTGATGTCGATCTTAGTTTACGAAACCCATATTGTGTATCACTAATTTTGTTATTTTTCTCTAACCATAATTCAAGTCTTCTCTTTACCATCCGTTCGAATGTTTTTAAAATACACGATCCTAACGAAATTCCTCTATATGAATCCGCTGAGTCTATATATATATATTTGGTTTTAAAATCGGTATAATTACATAATCCTTCCATGAATCCGGAAATTCAGCTTTTATCCATATTAAATTAATTATATTTAACAATTTTATTTTCTGACACCTTGGTAAGTAATACAGCATAATATAATGGACATTGTCTAAGCCAGGAGCAGTATTTTTATGACACTTTAAACTATATTCTAGTTCTTTTAGAGTAAATTCATTTAACAAATAGTTTGAATTATTATTATTCACTTTTTTAGGATGGTTTACATTTAAATTTGGTGAAACCCAGGGCGGAGCTAACTTATTTAAAAATTCTTCAGTCCAATTATCTTTCTTTACTTGATTTTTTGGGACATTATAAGTATTTTTAATTTCTTTCCAAATTTCTTGGACCGGAGTATTTTTATTTAATTTATTACAAAATTCTCGCCAAGAAGCTTTTTTACTTTTTAATATTGTTTTTTTTTTAATTGCCTCTGCTTTCTGATATTTTATGTAATTTTCATATGTACTATTTCGTTTAAATTCTAAAAAAGCTTCTTGCTGAAATTTTATAGCTTGTGCACATTCTGGGTTCCACCATTTTTTATTAAACTTACTATTGATCGTCATTTTTTTCTTAGGTATTGATAATTCACAAGCATCATTAATTATATTGATAAATGTATTATATATGTTATTAATATTTTCATCAGTATTTATGTCTTTGGTGTCATTAGTTTCAAGAATCGAAGAAAATAACGACCAATCTGCTCTGTTCACGTTCCATCGGGTTCTCTCATTAACTATTGTTATACTATCAACATCGCTTTCAATTATTATTGGAAAGTGATCAGAACCTAGAGCTACATTTTTTACGTTCCAATCAAAACAGGAAGATATGTCACTGGAACATATAGTTATGTCCACAGCTGATTTATTTCTACTGTATAATCTAGGTATTATAGTTTCGGCCCCATTATTTAAAAAACATAACTCACAGTCTTCTATTGCCGTTAATAGACTAAGTCCAGCCCTATCATTCTGATCGCAACCCCATGCATTATGGTGACAATTAAAGTCTCCTGCCACCAAAAATGGTGTACTTAAACTATTAAAAAACTTTTTCCATTCACTCTCTGATACGTTTAAATTTGGTTTTGTGTACACTGAATATATATTAAGAACTTTATTTGATTTTAATTTGACTGTTATTGACATACTCATAACCTGATTGATTTTATGATGATTTGCATGACCTGTGAACTGAATGTATTTTTTAGTTAAAATAGCTGATCCTCCATAACCATCATCTCTATCTCTCCGAAATATATTATAACCACTGAAATTAATATTATTTTTTTCTTTTAACCACGTTTCACTAATTATAGCTAAATCAATATTATTTTCAAAAATAAATTTCTCAAAATGACCTTTATTGTGTACAATGGACCTAGCGTTCCACTGTACAATTTTGAACTTATTCATTATCTGTGAGAATGCGACTTAAATTATTTTTAAAATCGTCAAACATTTTTATATTGTCTAAAGTTATTGAGTTATTCTTTAATACATTTTTAAAAGTGCTTATAATCATATCACAAACAGAGTTTATTTTACAGTTTTTATTTAAATTTGCGCTCATTGTTGATTGGGAATAGTTAGGGATATTTCTATAATTTTGATATACCGGTTGACTACTAGTAGATGGAGATGAAAGAATCTCCTTATGCTCGAAGGAATATCCTGAACGGGGATAATTAGGATAACCTTCTAAATTTCGTCTGCGTTTAACTGGTACTGAGTAATGAGTGCTTTTATTTACATTCTTTGTCACCGTTGCGTAACTATGATCATATTTTTTATTAGCCTCACTATAGGATAAATTTTCTGTGGCCATATATGTTTTAATTTGTTTTTGACGATGAAATTCTTCACAATTTTTCCTATCCGTTGCTTCATGACTTCCTCTGCATAAAATACATGATGTCAATTGCGAATTACAAGAATTTGTTTCATGTTCATTGCCACATTTTCCACATCGAACATTACCTCTACATTGTGCACTAACGTGACCGTACCTCATGCATTGTCTGCATTGAATTACTCGTGGAACATATATCTCTACATCGTAAATAATTTTTTCTATTACTACCTGTTTAGGTATCATTTGGCCCTTAAAAGTAACAATAACTGCCATTGTCGGGAGTAACTCACCATTTACCTTTCGTTTTATTCTCCTTACTTCATAAACTTTAAAATTATTTCCATATTTAGGTTTAATTATGTTTAATAAATCATCGTCTTTAATATCCTTGTCAATACTTTTTATTACACTTTTTTTGTATGTAAAGAAAGTGGGTATATAAGCCTCGTAATTTTTTTCCTGAAATACTTTAGACTCGACTAATTTGTTTGCACTATTGAATGAATTTAATTCGACTTTAACTTTATTTCTACCAGTTACAGAAATATTTAAAATGTTATCCCTGATCTCCGGTTCTGCGTTTAAAATTAATCTTGCAGTAGAAATTTTATGAAACTTACCTATGTTTCCTTCTTTACTTTGCACAAATACATAATATGGACCTTGGTCCGTTGAACTATATTTATTTTTTTGTTTTATTATTTTTTCAATACCACCTGTTTCGTCGCTTTTTCCATTTCCGCTAAATTCCATATTCACTTCATCTGTAATTATAATTTTTCCCCTATCAGGAGGTTCATATCTTCCGTCCGAATCCCCGATCATAACAATCAAAAACAAGTAAACAAACACTTAATGAAGACTCGTTCACTCACTGATAAGAACTTTACCTGACCACTGCCAAAAACGAACTGTGTTCTATAGAGATAAAGTAAACTATATCTAGAGATAAAGACAATTCATAAGCTTGATGGAAGGTGTAATAAATAAAGCAAATACTATATTGAGTAATTATATAAGCAAAAAGGATATTAACTTTACATTAACATGAATAATATGATTGTCACTTAACTGGGTATTATACATACGCTCTACTTTACTTAAGCTTATCAGACATAAACGCTTAACACAAATGTGACGTATTTCTAGTGCAGTAAGCACATAGAGGGCCAAACCTAGGGAATTTGGTATAAAACTGATCGCAGAAGATTACATAATAAGTGCCGGCAAAGAAGCAAAGAAAAACTTAAAATGAGAGAGGACTCAAACTAGGCACTGCGGGAACCATTTAACTATGTTGAGCTTGGATCCACTATCCACGTATAAAATAAACAATATTACGGCTCCCGATTGAGGATCTGAGCACAAAACTAATTATAAAATTTTGACCAAAAATACTACAATGGCTAATATCTAAAGTCTGTAGACAAGCAAAGCAAAGACAAAGTTATCACTATGCTTTAACCTGGCAAAAACTCAAACGACCACAAAAGCTATCGGCCAATATATCTATTTATTTTGTCAGCTATACAAAATAAATCTGCACATGATCCTTAATATAAACCGATAATAGAAGAAGAACTCAAATTAAAAGACAAAAGTGGCTATATATGACAGGGAAGATCATGTACATCACAAATACTAAATCTTGCCCAACACAGCGAAGACGGGTATGAAAAATATCAGGTATGAGGAGTCGTATTTGTCAATCTCAATGCCGCTTACGACACCTTAAATTGGAGGGCATTTTTTCAAAATCTATGTGATATCCCCTTAGGTAATAAACTTACTTGTATTATCCGTGTATGCCTACACAACATAAGAAGATTTTTCGTATCACTCAACGGTAAGAATAGCAGATGGAGAACGTAGAAGAACGGTCTTCTTTGGGGTACCGTAATCGCACCTACACTGTATAACATTTACACAACCCATACTGGTAAATAGTAGGACTTTTATTATGTAGACGATACATCTATTGTTGCATAACCAAAAACTTTTGTTGCTAAAGTAGAGAAAAATCTAAATAATACCTTAAACAAAATAAAAATAGAATCTGAATCAATTTTAAGCCACACCCCGGAAAAAGTTAGATATGCTCCTTCAATGTTCCTAACAAAGACGCTTTCACAAATCTGAACATATACCTGAACCAATAGTGTCAAGAAATCCTTAAACTCTGCACTTGCTATAAATACCTTGAAGATAGTTTCTATCACACTTTATTATTCACAGAACTTTGTTTAAAACTAAATGAAACCTAATACTACTATAAGAATGAAATGAGAACCAAAAAATAATATTCTCCGCAAACTTGTCAGCTAAAAATAGGGAGCACATTCTTCCACCCTTAAAACGTAGACTTGAACTCTATGCTTCTGCCTATGGGTGACATCAACACATACTTAATACGTAGATTTAGCTATAAATTAGTCAGTCAAATTCAGAGTACCTATATTAAGACTCACATCCATACATAAGCTCTACAATATCGTAGCTATCAATCCACCTAATATCCGAAGATAAGTAGCTAGAGAACGAAAGAAACAAAGTCTAGATTCGTAACATCAACTCCACGCATACCAGCCCATTTTATGACTAGAATCGAAGAAAAAACTGGCCAGATCAACACATCTGCAGGATATACAAAAAAAAGTAAGCTGCTCCTCGACATCTGAACCCTCGAAAGAAACGTCCTGATGGTAGTTATCTTCCTTAAATCTGCCAGGAGGACTCCGGTTAACCTATGTGAATGTGGGGTGGTACAAGATTCATCACACTTTCTTAGTTGACTTTATCATCCAAATCGGTCTTTTCTGAAGGAAAAGGTTAATTTATTTGAACTAAACATGTAAAGTACAGTCAGTAAGCTATTACTTATAAAGTAAAGATCATTGCAAATTTGACACTACCTCCACTTATATTGATTACACATTACCCCTAAATACTAGATAAAATATTCAGAAATATGTAATGATCGTGAAGTGATATAATTCTTGTTAGATAAATTAAGCATTCTTCCCTTTTTAGTGCACTACTACCCATTTTTACACAAAAATATCTATTTTAGCACTATATTTCGAGATAACCATCTATCCAGAATTATATGTAATACACAGATACAACTAGAAATAAAATAATAAAAAAGCTGTATACAAGATATCATAAAACAAGAGATGAAATAAAAGAAGTTTTTATTCAGAGGGTTCTTAAATAAAACGTATAAAGACATACTCACGTTAACAAAATACATTAGGAAATTTCCGCATATGAAACAAAATCCAATTTGGTAATGAAATCCTTTTGTATCTATAAAGCTATTTTTAGAGAAGCACGTACCTACCAAAAACAGGTAGTTATTAGTATACATATCTGTTACACACTGTAATGCGTATGAATGATAACAAAAATAAGAAGTCCATATAAACATACTTTATTGAAAGAGGTAAAAGTACACTGCTAAGAAAGTACATTGTATTTCTTATACTTTCATTTTAATCCTCTAAAAACAAGATTTTAAAGCAGCTTCACTCCATTAGTCCATGTTTGTTGCTTTTTGTCACTGTTTCTCCTTTGCCTTTATCATTATCATAACGTAGCGCTACAACACTGGGTGGGTCTTCGCTAACTACAAATTTTCTCCAAGTTGATCGATTTTCCACGAATCTGTAATCAACTGAAATGTTATTTTTCTTAGATATGGCATTTTTCTGTGCTAACTTCCTTCCATACCAATTTTATAAGTTGACATCTTGGCGTCTATGCATGTGTCCGATCTACCTTAAGGGATTTATTTTCCGGAACAATATCGTTATAAGAGCTTTCTTTATTTAGTATGTGTTCTTATTCTATGCAGATTTGTAGCGATATGATAATGAGGTTAAAAAATGTTTATTATTTTTCTTTCAAATATTCGTAATTCTTCCTTACTTGTTTTACTCATTGTCCATGATTCGCATCCATGTATTAAAATAGGTCTAAAGTTTGAATTATTCTCTGTATTTTTTAGTGGTGTTATATATTTATATTGTTCTAATTTATTTGTCTTTATTCTAATTTATTGTCTATATTCTAATTTATTAAAACTCACGATAACTAATTACTAATGTATTAAATAGCTGTACAAATGTATTTATGTCACGTTTCGTTACAAGTAAACCGCGTTTCCCGATCTTCTTATCACTGACTGCCAAATAAAAAATCTTTTTTTATATACACAACTGTTGTCATCTAGAAAATTCGGCGAACTTCTTGAATAATATCGTATTTTGGTGAAGGCGCTCGACTCGTTTTTCAACTGTTCGAAAAGCCTCGAGACGTGGATTACTCATAAAATTAGGGTCTAAAGGTTTCTGTAAACAACTTCGAATTTACTGGAACAGAAAACAGAATTAGTCATAATATATTGATAGTTATAAACGCCATAATTATCGTAACACTGCCCCCCTCTTAAAAGATGGTTCCTCCTGGAACCTTGTCGGGACTGGAACTGAAACGGTATGCTGGTATCGGCAACTGGACCCTCTTTTACAACTTCCAGTTTTATAAAAATGACAAGGGACGGTTTTCTCTCCGCACCAGTAACTATGCGGATTGCAACAGACTAACACCTGGACTTCGGTGTCTCTAAAGATCTCCTCCACCATACTTCGAATAACCCTCCAATCTAATTGGTGGCACTCTAACTTTGGCATGGCTAACTTTTGCACGTCGGACTCTAGTACGTGCTCTCTCAACTGAAGTAAGGCTTCCCATACATCTCGGTAGGTAGGTTGGTCACGGGCAGTGTCTTTTGTTACCAGGTAGAAAAGGTAACGTGATGCATCTTGGAGTTTCAAGGTTTTACCGGTAGCTGGCACTTGGCATTGAAGTTCTGCAACTCGACCAAATTTCCTTCGAAAGACGGATGCCAACCCTGGTGCGTCTTTGATACTGGCCGGGATGGTAAGGGCCAGTGAGTAGTCATCGGGAAGCGCGAGTAGATCCTGCCTTTCTTCAGTGGTAACACCATGTCTTGCTTTATCGGTACCTCCATAGGCACCCATGAATTCCTCAAACGTGAGGTCAGACACATCTTGGACTTGGTTTACTTCCACTTCTTCATCTACGTCGTGGTCACCCTCGAAAGACGCCAGCCGATTATGGTGTACTATCATCGGCTTTCCTCTCGGGATCTTGCTTATTCGGTAAATAACATCATTGATCTTCTCCATAATGAGATATGGACCTTCCCAAAACTGTTGCAACTTGGGAGAGCAGCCTTTTCGCTTTTTGGGATTATAGAGCCAGACCTTGTCGTTCTTCTTAAAACACCCCTTTTCGGCTTGCGTATCATACCGTTTCTTCATTCGGTCACTAGCGATCTGGAGATGGGAACGGACCAATTCGTGTACATCGTCCATTCTTCTTCGTAATTCGATCACATAATCTTCACCTGCTACATCTTCTCCAGGTCGACACCCAACTGCAACCAATTGCAGTTCCCTCCCGGTACTGCAATTTTACCTCGACGATGGTGGGAGGGCCGAGTAACCGGTCGTGGTCCCTGAGAATGTGAGGGGAGCACGACCAGTGAAACCAAGAACAGTACCAAGCGTCCAGCGCCTGTGCACCGGGTGAGCGCCGGACACCGCCGCTGGACGCTAAAAGGGGCCGCAATATACCCAATTGCGACGCCTTCCATCCCTTACATCTGGCTGTGCCGCATCCCGACGAACTTGAAGGACTTAGCGCTTTCACTGCTACCCCCTTAGTTTGTGGCACCATCCCAGTCAAAACATGGTCTACGACCACATCTTCGACGGCCGTTTTTTCTTCCACAAATA